TGCCTGTAATCGACGATGCTACTTAATTTGGATATGAGTAGGTAGTGACATTAATAGTAATGCCTGAATAATAATTTAACCAAGTGAAATCCAGTATTATCCTTTGGCTTGCTTATCTCGAATTGAAGAAAAGTCACCATAAGCGAATTGGGAAAGTAAAATGCCTATTGCCGAATTGCTGATTACCTCGAAGGCTAATCAGGTCGAGATTATTAATCATTATCCAAGTTTGAAATAGGTCGGCCATGACGCCTCTGTCAATCGTGTCTCTCCAAAGGTGATCTCTACAAATCAGGCCTGATTGGCGCCACAAGCGGGTTTTTGAAATAATAAAAACGATAGAACAACGACTAATACTGACGAAAAGTATAAGAGAGACGATTAAGACTGCTGTTTGGATGATAATTCTGATGCTGATGCTGATGATAAACATGATCATCATGTCAGGCATGATGCTGCTGCTGCTATTGATGAGCATGATGATTGTAGAAATAATAGAAACGATGCAACAACGACTAATACTGACGAAAAGTATAACAAAGATGCGTTTAGAATGATACTTTTGATGCTGATGTTGCCTCTGCCATTGATGGTTATGTTGAGGATGATGACAATAATTACAAAATACCAATAATGGTAATGATAATATTTAAAATATTAACAATAATGATGATGATGATGATTGTGGTGGTGCTGAGACTGTATCCGGTGTGAGTAGTTTCGCCATTCGAAAGGCAAGGAAGGACTCAAACTGGTCTTTGCGTGTCTGCATCGCCTTCAGGCGCCAGTCAAGACTGACCGAATCGTCGGTTTGTCAGTTTGTCGGTTTGTCAGTTTGTCGGTTTGTCGGTTTGTCGGTTTGTCGGTTTGTCGGTTTGTCGGTTTGTCGGTTTGTCGGCTTGCCCAGATCGAGTCCGATGAGGCGATTGTGGCGAGAAATGTCGTGCCTGACCGATTTGCCCTCTTTCTTGGCACACACACCAACACACACCCACACACCCACCCACACACGAACACACGCACACTGATGCACCTACAGGCGTTGCTCAACAGCCTCTGGCTGATGAACCGGACTCAGTTCAACGTGGGCGGCACGCAGCGCCACCGCGCCCTCGTCTGGGGCCAATTCGAGCTGGTCTCCGGCGCCGACGGCGTCGACGCGCTCCACTTCACCCCCGCCAGCCCCTGCCCCCCCTGCACCCACTGCCCCTCCTGCCCGCCCTGCCCGCCCTGCACCGCCTGCGCCGCCGACGCCACCGGCCAAGTGCGCATCTGCCGCGGCCACGGCGGCACCA